TTATGAGCTCATGACAATGTATTTTGACACTGTATGAAATAAAGAAACCACAAAAACTGAAATTTAAGTACTATGAAAATACAACGGGATCGGTATTCCAAAATGGATGGTATACTGACAATTGCGGATATGATATTCTGAAGCCTGTTGAAATCACGTACTTAAATAATTTATAAATAATTATTTATAATAAATTTATTCAAATTTCATTTATATCCATTTTAGCTTTCAGGGGTTAAGGATTTGTATTTCTATTTAATAAATTCTATCGCAGTCTTACTATCCCTGGATTTTTTTTTTTTTTTTTTTTTTTTTTTTTGCATGAACTATATGCCAAGTCATAGCAAATAAATAGCTGATAACTTTTAGACTTACTTACATCTTTAATGAAGCTAAAAGCAGGCGACACATGCATTCTTGGGAACACTCTAGTTCTGTAAGAAATCGGCAAAGATAATTATGCAGAGATTTTTGATGAATAAAATGGTTTTTTTTAACCTTTCTATAACGCTTACTATATATACATGTACATGTATGGTCTGCATTATAAAACATGATGTGATAGGGTAACGTTATGCGCCTTGTACACGCACTCAAAGATGCCGACGTTTTTCAATATCGAAATTGGACATAAAACATATTTACAATAAAATTTGAAGCCAGCGAGTTAAACATAATAAATTATTATGGAAACGAAATGGAAAAAAAAAAAAAAACATGTGCAAACTTGTCAAGTCGGAAACACTCAGAAGGGTATTGTTGGTATCATACAGACTGTGTCATGGCCTTGACTCAAGTTCAAGGTCACTGAGAACAAGATGCTTTTACTGGATGTGTGGTCTGAAAGAACATGTGTTAACTTGTCAAGTCGGTAACACAGATAGGTTTGCCGCAAGGTCATCTGGACAAGTTCAAGGTCACGAAATGGAAAGTGTACATTATTTTATTGTCTTTCTACTGGCGAAGCATTGCAAGTTGATAGTCCCTTACAAGATTATTTATTATTTTAGAATTTGGCATGACCTTGTCTCAAGATCACTGCTCCAACGGAAGACCTATTCGTTGCTCTGCAACGAGCTAGGCTCTAGTTTTGTATAATATATTTGCATTTTGTCTAATCATAATTTTTTTACATGTATATTTTCACAACAAGATCAATTCCCAAGCTACTTGATAAACACTTAAGACGACATCAGTCGGAGATTTTAATCCAAGTGCTGCATAACAAAATAAAAGCATTTTATTTGTGCTTATATTAACATGTTTCTATTCATTTTCTGAAGTTAAATTACATCTCTAAATACCAATATTATGAAAGCTTGTGTTCTAAAATTGACTTCATCTCGCCTACTATGACAATGATAATATTACTGATCTAGTCAAGTAAGAATATCTGAATGTTTCCTTAACAAACCTGCGTTCTGCCATTTTGAGGATGACGTGAAAGGGGGGGGGGGGGAGTCCTGCATATTTTGCACGGAACGAAGTAAAGGCCATGATTTCTTTGATGCTGAATGTACAAAAGGTAAAAATATTTTTTAAAAATATGACATTTTGATTGAAGGGGAGGGGTTATTTTAAAGAGGAATATTTAAAAAAATCTTGATAGGGTATGATCAGATTAGCTTACGATTGAGTGAAAAAAAATTATCTGAATTATTATTTTATTTGGGGTATTTTAATCAGGAATATTTTATTAAAAAATCTTAAATAGGTTATGATCAGAGTAGCTTAAAACTGAGTGAATCTTATTTTTTTGTTCAATAAAGGAGGAAAACTCAAAAGTGAGGAGTCTCAGAGTCTATCATCTTCCCATATGGACCAGCTGCAAATAACAGATGTGGCAGAATGCAATGATCAAGAAAAGGTAAAGGTTCTTCAAAACACCAACGACGACAATTGATATACATAGAAACATTTTCAGTATTTTTTATCAATTTAATAGTAATTTAACTGTAGATGAAATTACGCATAATTCACAAGATATTTCCAATTATATTTTCTTCGGTTGATGTTTTGAAAAATGATACTTTTATGTGATCTTTGAGCTCAGTATCAATATAAACTGGCTATCTACGATCCCTAAGTAAAAACAAAACGAATTAGGTGACTACTGAATGGTGTCCGTCATGATGACCTGTAATTTACGTTTAAATATAAATGAAGTTAGTTTTAGTTATTTAGGTGTCTGGTGGTCTCCAAATTAATCAGGTATTCTCAATGATGATGTCACAATAGCCTTTATTTGCGTTGGGTTCTTTTGTTGGGTTCTTAAAAAATACAAATCTAGTAAATGTATGATCTTTGCCAATCAAGGATAACAGGACTATAACACAATTTATTTACAAATGTACAACAAAATAGTGATGAAACTCATGCCCCAGTGGTGTATATGTACAAGAGACATAAGGCATCACTACCACATCTCCAGAAACGAAGAACCATGTTCTAGCTATTCCATCACGTGTTGGACGGAAGTACAAATCATCAGCGGAAGTAGGCAGATGACGTCACCGGAATCTTGTAGCCTGTGATCACGAAGGTTTTTGTCTCAAAACGTATAGAAGAACATCAGAGGAGACATCTCAACGAAAAGGTGGTCATCTATTTAAATTATTTTACAACTTCATATAATAAACTAATCTAATAAACATCTTCAATTCGTAATCCAAACACGTAAATATGTGACAAAATTATACTGCCAATATGGTCTTTCGTAACTGCGCTTGTACTTAAAAGTATACAAACCAGGTAAGTGACGTCTAATATTGACATATTGACACATATTGAATACAATAAACAAATATTTTCTTTTATACAAACTTCAAGAAAAGCAGAAAAATAACACTCACTGAATTGTAGTCATTCACACACCTTACAAATGTCAAAATAGAAAGCTCGGGTTTCAAATGGTCCACAAAGGTACCACATAACGCATCCCATTTCCACAAAGCATTGGAACCGTCCAATCCATAAGTATGGGGGATAATTTCACACCGTCCACAAAGTTTGGTGTCCAGAACTAATATGACAAACCTGGCCAAAACTCAAACCCCTAAATAAGTTTAACAATTAATACTATCAAACTTGAGAAACAGGTTAACCAAACGATGCTGCAGCTCTGTATACTACAATACGCATGTTTCGAGATTATCTCTCTTGGTGCGCTCTTTCGTTACGGAGAAGAGTTTTGTTTTCTGCGCGAACAGGCAGGCCGGACAGTAATTTATATTGGATATGTTATAACTTCGATATGCCGGTCTATCATAACTGATAATAGTGATGTACTCTTCAAATCAAAAATTACCGAATTTATCTATAGTTGTCATTTTTTTCTACCAAAAAGAAAAAAAAAACAGAACAAAAGAAAATATCAGCGGTTATAAGACTTATCAGACGTAGGAAAAGATATGGATCTTCCAAAAACACACGCATCTGATCATTACAATTGTACAATTCTGATTGACACACCGACTTTCCCTTATAATATTTTCAAAGAGCCCCCTTACTATTAAAAAAGGTTTGTATAATCAAGGAAGTGTCTTTGTCAGAAAGACTATGACAGTTCTTTTGTTCTCAAGTATCCTAATTGAAAGTAAATTTTGGAAAACACATACATTAGACTTCAATCACTCCATCGAAATCACCACTGCTTGACAATTTCATCTTCCTTTGACATAAGATGAATTTTAAAGCCCTAACCATCGTCCATTTATTTATACACGTTTGCGTACATCAACAACCTGTCCCACTTCCATGCCGATATGGATACTTTCTGTGCCTCTATCGTTGGAGGGTTACAATCTCGAAAATGATTCATTATTCAGTGACCTTCGATGCATGCAAACTTAAACTCTCCAGAATGTATGGACGAGCATTTTGAGCAATATTGTGACAGATAACTTCTGGTGTGTGTTTCGCCTTCAAACTTAAGTGGCCTACATTGAAATAATACATTTCCAGTGCCGAATTAGTTCAAACGCAGGCTCTGACTCTACCTGCTGACAAAGAAGAGGGATCGTATGGGTCGTATGAAAAGTTAGAAAGTCTGCAACATGTCCTTCGTCAATTTGTCAAAAAGTGTAAACACTGTGATTGTCTTATCCTCATTAAATATGCTTTGAAACGTTATCACAGTATTTTAATTATGCATGAAAGAGATTTTTTTTCTTCTTCATGACAGACCAGGGCAAATATTGACTGTTTGTCGTATATTATATCCTGGATGCCTCCAAAAAGTACCAATAGCGTGGTCTAGTTATTTTCACGAATAATATGTTCAATATAACTCTGTATTTATTTAATTTTCTGTTATCTTTCCTGGTGGGCAGGTTATCAATTTTTCTCCTCTCTAGTTAAGGCAGTCACAAAGGGGTAATTCGGAAAATTTTGTTTACGAGAATGACACAATCATTAAGAAAAGGAAGTGCTTCTTTCGGGCCTACTGTAGGCAAAGAATGCAATATTTGAGCATCATTCTGATGACCAAGAAACCCACTGCGTACAAAGCTATGTGTTTTAATATTATCAATTATGACAATAAATTGTATGGATAAAATTGAAATATCTGTGTCCAATACAGGGTTCGTGGCTCGCTTTGAAGTCTGTATATGTGATGTGAAGATCCATCGTTCAATGCAACTGCATCAAGTGGATTATCCAAATTACAAGTATCCCACTAATCCCTCCATTCCCATTCCGAAGACCACTGAATGTTACATGTAATTTTTGCATTTTGTCCAATTTGTTGTGTAAGAATAGAGGAATGAAACATGTCCAGAGGTTTTGACATCAAAGAAACAGAAATGAATGTCTATCATTCATAAATATATATCATTAAGATGTTTTTACTATATATGGAATTGCACCAAAATAAAGAGATTTTAAATTGTACTATAATGAGGACGGGGATATACCCAAAAACGTGTTTAATTCTTTGTTTTGTAAGTGTTAATCAACTCAAAATTTCCACAATTTTTAATTATCTCCGCTGATGAAGATTAAGCGTAATTGTTATATGATCTGAGCGTCTCACCAAGTTTATATCGAAATGCTGTTATTTCATCTTCATCCCCCTCTGGAAATTCTATATAAGATTTTGACTCAATCAGATCCATGACGGACAGCGGTAATTTTTTTCATGATACCTTTCTCTAATGCCACCAAAACTAAAACGTTTTCACCGTTTTGGGAATAAAATGCTTCCATGCGAGCCATGTTGAGTTCGAACATACACCAATATGATTTTAAGAAATGTGCAGTTATGACGCAGACAGTTCTTCGGCTATTATGAATGGCATTTGTGATATTATCTGCTATACCTGTCCCTGGGATAAAATCGCGATGATGTATACACAGTTGAAGATCGAATTCCTTCTCCAAACGCTTTAAAATGTCGACAACAAATGTGCTGTCTTCATCGGCATAAGATACAAATGCATGAAATTTATATTGATTTTCTTCTATTGCGTCTTCTCTAAGAACATCATCTTTATACGCATCCTTTGCTACGTAGTACATATATAAAATCTTCCATTTATATCTATAAACAACACGACCAAGTATGATCGCTAAGATAATGATTATCGATAACGTCAAAATAATGATAATTAGAAAGTATGAAGAGCACTGCTTCAGCAGTCTGGAGTAAATGTCCCATATCTGTGAATAGAATTTTTGAAGAATCTGACAAGGTACATGTATAATTAGAAAAATAAAGGAAATCAATACTCTTCGTGTTGAGCACCCATTTTACGAAGTTCAAGTTTTCACAGTCGCATCTTAATTTGTTACTCTTCAGATTCACAGATACATGTTTCTGTCGTGAAATTTTGTTTAACATATTCCTAGTTTCTGTATCTAAGGCCGAAATCTCATTATAGGAGAGGTCTAAATAAGACAGATTAACCATATGATCTAAGAGTATTGTGAATGCACTCAAAGAATTATAGCTGAGATTAAGAATTGTCAGCCTTCTGAGATTACGAAATATTTTAAAGGGAAGATGGATGATTTTGTGTTAAGTTCAAAGTGCGAAGCATATTCATATTTTTAAATAACTCTCCGTTGACATCATTTTCCAGACTTTCACCAAGAACATTGTTGGAAAGATCAAGATCAACCAGGTTTTTAAAATCCTTCAAGCTTTTTGGTGAGATGTAGCTGCAAAAATTGTGAGAGAAGTTCAGATAATTGACACTTTCTATATTCCAGATTATAGATGATATTATTCTGCAAATAAAGCTTTGACAACACGGATTTACCCAAAGATTTGATTCTGAGATTTAGGCGGCGGAAAGACATTCTATAGAAGTTATTATGAAAGTATAACGATTGCAATTTAGGTGGAATCATGACTTGCATATTTATAGACCAGTCATTGATTTTAGTCAAGTTACCAATTTGATTTCCTAAAAAAGCTGCATCAACCGACCTTGTGCCATTGCAATCTAAAGCAAAATCTTTCATAATGAATGGATGGAATGAGGATTGAAAACTTACATTGAGGGTCTCCAAATTGGACATAAGAGAAAAATAATAGACATAAAGTCCATACTCTAGTACATTATTAGCTAGGTTAAGATGTCTAAGTGATTTGGGAAGCTCAGCTAGGACTTCGGACTCCAGACTACAAATGCAATTGGACGCCAAGTTAAGTTCCTTCACCTGAGTACGCTTTAGATAAGCCATGTGATATCTTCTAACAATAAATCGTACTCTGTGGCAGCTTTGTAATTTCTGGAAATTTAAAACTCGAATAGAGGAATTTCTTAAGTCACTTGATAAATTAGCCACAGCCTCCAGAGTTAGTTTCTGATTGCTGGATATATCAAGATGAACAAGATTTGAAGAATTTTCAAGGGAACCTTGTTCAATCGTGTGAAGCAAATTTTCCGATATGCTTAAATTTCTCAAATAGCTATATTTTGACAATAATCTCTGTTCAACGGTTCTTAGTTGATTTTTTGAGACATCCAAGTAAACAATATTCCGAGGAAGATCGTTTGGAAAATTGGAAAGTTTGTTATTAGCAAGAGTTATTCCGGTGACATCACTCTTAAATGATGGTGCTGTTGTGAGATTGAGGTGTTCACAATTTGCCCATAATTGTCCCTTATTCATATAACATATACATTGTTTGTTTGTTGAACAATCCAGATCTGCGTCAACTAATATCGTACCGATGACAAAATAAACCAGTAGAAGTACCAAGAAGTCCCTCATTCTACAAAACAATATACATAGACTGATTCAGATACTGTTCAAAATAACAACTGAATTTTATGAATTGTAATGAAATAGTTCAGAAAAACAAAGATGATGAGGTTTTCTTCTTTTTGTCGATGTTTTAAAGAGGATGTTTATTTAATGCGATTGGGATACCTTTTTATATTTTATATATTTTATATACAAACCTTGACCATATTTTTGATATTATATATAAAGAGGATATCTATATTGTGTGCTTTATCCAACAAGTTGAAATGGTGTATATTCGTAAAAATTGCCGAGTGCATAATCGCCATTTCAACAAGTTGGATAAAGCAAATATTAAATCATACATTTATAGATGTTCTATTTATCTCATACGATTTTCCTTTTAAACAAAAGCATACAAGGTAATCACGACGTAATAAAAGGAATAAAAAAATAATAAATCCACAGCGTAAAAACCAGTAATATTTTCTTTTTCATTTCACTACATAATTCGAATAAAGCTGTATACTTCTAAGCATTTGTTGTAGGCAAAGTTGTTTTAAAGTTGTTAGATTTTTTATTCTAAATGATTACATTTAAGTGTTCTGAAGTGTAAATGTGTAAAGTCAAATAAAAGACTATACCGTATTCTAACGTATAAATAGTATATCACCTATTGTTTATTTAACGATTTAATAAAGGTATAAAACAGCTGTATCTGATTTTTAAGTCCAATTTTATGGCTGTTGCAAGAAAAAGGCACCATGTTAAGCGTATTTTTTCTCTCTATATATTGTTTTGTAATACTATATGGAACATAATGTTTGAATATATTAAATTTGCTTAGCGTTATGTTGTGCTGCAAAAATTATTCAGATTTAAGCAAAAGATAAACAAACTTGTTTACATCAAGTTTTCTTGGATTATGTAATATGCAGTTTTTTTTTTTAATATTTGCAAAATATTGATTATATTGATATCTAAAGTCTATTTCTTGAAAATTAGACCACATTTAACGTCTTTTTTTTTAATAAGCATAACATCCATAAAAATTCCCAAGAAAAACCATCTGGAATTTAAAATATGTTTTTAAATATTTTTCCTAAAACTCAAAAGACTTTATTAAATAGGCCTCCTATTGTTGAATAAACATACTATAGTAAAACATCTTTCATAAGAAACAACATTTGAACCTGAAATTTAATCCAATGAAATAAAAAAAAAAAAAAAAACTACCTTGATTTTGTGAGGTCTGATTTTGAATTCCTATCCCTCGCCAAAGATCACCGTGGAATAAAATCTTAATTTAAGTGTTAGGTTTTTTACTTTATTTCAGAGTTAAAACTGAGAAGTGCCTGTCTGCAAACATTGAATGCACTTTATCTAGTAATACCCAAGGAGAGGATTTGATTGGTTACTGTTTTACATATTTCCCTCATTATCTCTAAGTTAATACTTTCCTATTCTCAAATTCATTACAATAATGTGATTATTGTGACTATTAGAAAGTTTCAAAAGTCTTGTAAGTTTAGTTTCTAATTATTTCCTGCAATTAGTCACTTGCATTGGAATGCAACACTTAGGGAAATGATAACATTGGTTTTTCATTGCCAATGTAATTACGTTTAACAGATAAGAAGTCAGGATGTGTCTTTTTTGGATAAATTTAAATATATATTATATAAAGAATATCTGAATCCATGCCATGTTTATGTAAAATATAACGTAACATATAATTAATTACTACAAATGCATGATAAATATCGCATATAGCAATCGAATTATTCTCACAATTTCAGGGACTTAAGAAAACAACAAAAGGAGTTCACGTTGAAAAATATTAAGATTTTTGAAATGATCTCCTCTAAATGCACTGTCTGATGATCATGCCCAAACATTGCAAAAAGTTATCTTCTGGTTTTTCGTCAGAAGAATACTTTTTAGATACATTAAGGATTCAGGTTTGGTTTTGGTAACAGTAACGCAACAAGGGTTTGATATTTTCCGCTTCAAATTGAGGGTAGCTCGCTCTTTTGATAAATCCATTTTGATTGAAGTGAAAATTTAAACAAATATTTAATACAAATTTGTGACATCACAATTCCAGAAATTTGAGAAATTTTGATTTGTTGATATAATTTTTTTTATTCAAATATTAAATGAGATATATATCAAAGTAGTCAAAGCTAGTGTTCAGGCGGTTATTGCAAATTTTGGAACACGCTATACATGATATTCTTCCGAATTTGCATTCATAAAAATTATAACCAATCATCAGAGGCTAAAATGAGATAATTCAAAATACTGTATTTATACAGATTTCGACTTAGGTTACTTTAATATTATTTTCTGAATACGTCTGTAACTAATTTTGATTTTACAAACTGATACCTAATCATGTACATTATCAAACACCCTTTTGTGAATACTTTTGTGGTTAATTTTTCAAACTGATACATGATCATATAAATTATCAAAGCCCTAAAGCAACTGCAGGTCTTTTAAAGTTTCTATTATGCATATTTATGATAAACATGATAAATTTGGAACCATTATACATGACTGCTGTGCTACAAATGAGTACGATTCTGATGTCAGCTGTAAAATATCTATAAATGTATGATTTAATATTTGCTTTATCCAACTTGTTGAAATGGCGATTATGCACTCGGCAATATTTACAAAATACACGTCATACACCATCGTTTGATAGCATGCACAGGTGACCTTCCTCTTTATGACTGCCTTTAATGTCCCATATCACTTTTGTGCTTTTGTAATAAACAATATATATTAAATGTTCCTATACCGCAAAACGGCACGAAGAATCGAAGGAAATTCTTACATGTTTTTGATAAAATTCTGCAATTATTCAGGTACATACTGGTAACACTTATAATTATTCTGACCGTTCAAAATACTAGAAAATATACTTGTCACACACAAGTCCTTGAAAAATCCTGTCTAAAAAATGCAGAAGAAAATGCTAAAAGGCATTGATAAATAAAACTGAAAGCGGTCGTATTACCAAGAAATAAAACATTAATCGAATTTTTTATCAACGATCAGTTTGTATCTTGGCACACGTGATCTTCACTCTTTTGCCTGAGCTGGGAAAACAACTTGATACTATAAGAATGTATATGTAATTTACAATAAGTCTATTTTTAAAAGAAGGTCTACCACCAATCACAAAATGCAAAGGAATTCTGATTAGACCTATCAATAAACACTCCTTTGTCTTCATCCTTTGAATGTTACAATTTAGAGTCACTTGGTTTTTATAGGGGGTAAGCATCAGCAGATCTAAAAACGTGTAATCAAAGAAGCAGAACCATTCGTTTTGGTTTTCTTATGTTGGATCTACATATTATTTTCTTTTGGCTTGTCAACCTTAACTAAGCTGCGCCATCAAAATCTGGGGAATCAGAAATCAG